CTGGGGAATTCTGGGAGTTGAAGTCCATGCATCATAATTTTGCTAAGGTTGCAAAACAGTGCATTAGGGAATAAACAACCATAAAATAATTCCTCTTTGTTGTGACTTCATAGGCCACAACTGACTTCATCAGATGCATTAAGTTAATTGAGAAAATGCAAAACAGTGAGCCAGGATCTGTAGTAATGGATGGGATAAGCCAAGTTAATAACTTATGGGAGCTGGGAACTGGCTGCCATTCTAAAGTACTACACGTCCTGAGAATGTCAAATATGGGCTAGCCCAAAATAATTGTCCCAAAAATATTCCACTTGTACTGGAACAGGAACTCACTCAAGTCCAGAACATTGTACCCAAACTCTGCCAAGGGATTTGGCACAAGTATTCCCAACTATCTGAAATAGTAACAGTACATTCATAATAAATTGCATATCTCTTTGCAGGCCTGTCATGAGACCCCAACTCATCTGCCTGTCTTGGCTACCTCACTGCCTGACAGGAGGGCCAGCCCTGACACAAGGGATTGCAGGCTGTCACACAGACTCAGCTATAACTTTGTCCAACCCCTATGAAGCACTTTAAGGAAAACCTTTCTGCAATCTTCTAAATCAGTGTTGTCCAAACTTGGCAACTTTAAGATGCGTGGACTTCAACTCCCAGAATTCCCCAGCCAGCATGGGAGTTGAAGTCCGCGCATCTTAAAGTTGCCATGGTTGAAAAACATTGCTCTAAATGCACCTTTCCTTTGATGCTGCTTTGTACAATTTCAGAAGTTTTAAATAAAAGAGAGTAGAGCCAAAGAGATCAAAATATCACTCCCCCAAGTTTCTCTGCAGTCCTTACTAAGAGATTCATCCCCTCCAGTTCCAATTGCCCTGGGACCAGTGTCCAGGGGCATTGTGCCAGCCTTCATTCCCATGGAAAGAAGAAGCAGATGATCTCACTGCACTCAGCAGAACTTGGTGGAAAGTATTTCCTAAATCAGGTATTTCCTAAATCATCATCTGTCACAACGTTCCCCTTTTGGGTTGTGTCATCAAGCTTCAGGGACCAGAATGCAAGGGTGATTGTCCAGGTCAAGACATAAATAACATTGGTTGGTTGGCTTCTGGTAAATCAGCTGACAGTGCAGTGATCTTCAACCTTTCTGAGACCAAGGGCCATGCTGGGCCCTTGAATGGTATGCCAGGGATCTCAGTGGGTAGAACATAAAGAATGAAGTGAGCAGGACTAGGACAAACATCAATTAATGTAAAGTTAATTATCATGAATTACATTCTATGAATAATGCTTATTCCTTGTGAGGTGGTTCATTTCCCTGTTCTGTCACCCTGAAAATGTCAACTTAGGGACAACTTTTGTAAAGTCCCTGGGAGGTGTTTCAGACTTTGCAAGCAGCTTCAGGACCACTGTTTGTACACATTTGTTGTGATATGATGCTGGAGTGTTAAGCTAGTCTTGAAAATCTCCCCACGATATATGCATGAACAGCATGTAAAGTAACCATTGCAATGTGGATTGATGGAATCAGGCCATAATGAAGAAAAGTGAAGTGAATCTTCTCAAGTGTAAAGAACCCTAAACCTAAGGAATGATCTCAACTGGTATGTAGCTCTATGGATTGGTGTGCAAAAGGATCTGTGGCTGCATGCTTAAGGCCCTGATCCAAAGATGGAACACTTAGGACAAATCCATATGCATACAGCAAAGCCTACTTTCGGTCCTTTAGCTGTAACACTTTCCACTGCTGAAGAGGCAAGCCTTTTCCCAACATTCAAAAGACTTGCCTCTTTGACAATGGGAATTACTCCACCATTCCGAAAAAAAGAAAACAACCCAAGTAGAGATCCTATCTTCAACCATAGATGAATGACACAGGAGTGAGGAGTCAGGGAGAGAAGAGACACTGTATCAGGGAAGAAATAGACACTTGATCCTTAGAGGTATATGGTGGAATTGTGAAACCTGAGCTTGTCTGAACTTCATACATCAGCTGAAATTCACCACCGCTGACACAACAGAAGAGAGAAGACGTCATCTGCATTTCAGTTGGACAGATGTTTTATAACCTTTCTATTTTATTGTTTACAACTGTGTACATAGGTGTACATTTCGTTTAACAGATCTTTGGATCTTCTATGCCCAGTTCTTTTGCCCCCTTCCTTCTTAAAATCTGCAATTATATTTATTCGCTGAGATTTATTTCCTGCCACATAAGGAAAATTCTGATGGATCAATTCCTGTCTACTTTTCCAAACAGAATGTACATTATCTTCTGTTTCTTTGTACCAAATACATGCACAATTCTTCCTCGGTGCATTGTTTCTGACACAGTGTTGCTTCTTCCTTCCTTGATGCTTGTGGGGTTCTTCCACTTAAGACCTGCGGATGAAATCCAAAATAAATGTGTAGTTTCTCTTTGGGGAAAGTTGTGAAAAGAATATCAAGGAAAGCCAGCATATATAGTACCAGCAAAATTACACTGGGCACACCTATGAAAAATACAGGTGCAAAACATCCCTGTGCAATTTGTTGGGTTGCTAAACTCCAAACAAGGGCTAGATTCATGCAACCTGCTGTTACCCAGTCATAGTGTCTTACCATTAGAGACTGAGCAGCTGTAATCACATCTGGGTCACAGGCTGACAAGGGCCCTAGAGGTAGGCTTGGCTCAGATGCTGCCATCAATCAGTATTAGTGGGGTATGTTCTGTGGCTTCCACACCTTAGCAGTTTTTACATTTGTAGCAACTCTCAATCTCATTTCCTTGGAAGATTGAATGGGTGGGGTTTAGGAGCTGTCCCATGGTTGACTGGGTTTGGGGGTTGCACAGCTGGATTGATGTTGGGGCAGGGTAGTTCACTCTTAAGTGCCCCTATAAAAATTGCCCTGGTACTCCTAGGTTAGTGGGATCATGGAATACATTAGGTTCTTAATTGACCAGGTTTAGCATCTTGAATAAATTCCGCCATGCTTCAAGACACCTGCAGAGGGAGTCAAGCAAATTATGAAAGCAGTGTCCACCATCATGCCACAGGTTCCGCCTCTTTTCTACACACATTGTGACATTGCACACATGTACAAAAGGCCAGAGCATGCAGCATGAAGCTGTGTTCGTGTAGAGAACATAGGGAATGGCCTTGAAGGGCAGGAGGAAGGACCATTACCAAAGCAACAGTTAGATAAGAGGGGCCTGAGCCCAGGGCAAGAAAGATTGAGAGAGACATGATAGCTGTCTTCAAATACCTGAAGATGTGAACCCTCAGATTGTAGAGGGTTCAGACTTATTTTCACTGGCTCCAGAGGATAATAGCTAATGAGATGAAACTTCAAGGATGTAGATACAGATTAGACATGAGGAAGAACTTCTAGACAATAAGAGTTGACAATTGTTGGAACAGGTTAACATATGGAGCAGTTTCTTCCCCTTCACTGGAGGTTTTCAAAGAGAGGCTGGATAGTCCTCTATTAGGGATGGTGTAGTGGATCCTGCAATGGAGAGGAGATTGGACTTGATGACCTCTTAGATCCCTTCCAACTCTATGATTCCATGATTATGTGGAGGGAAGAAGGAATGGCCTTGAAGGACAGGAAGAAGAGCCACTACCAAGGCAATGGTCAGATAAAAGGGGTTTGAGCCTGGGCCAAGAAAGTAATATGAGAAAACATCTCAGGCAAGCCCCTCCCTAGTTCACATGGAGATGGAGGGAGAGGGAAGCACATTCAGACTTGCAAGATGCTGTTACTATAAAAGTAAATACTGGCCTATATGGCATTGGTTTCATAGTCTGGTCTACCTTATAGGACTGACATCAATCTTGCAAGTCTGAACACTTTTTTATGAGAGTAAGAACAGGACAAAGCTTCAGTCACACAGCTGTGGAAGGCATCTTAACTTTTTTTGACCCTTCTAAAATCCCCTGCTCCAGAGACCACTGCATGCAGGGTTCATACACCATAAGAGCAGTGCAGGAACATAATTTTGGACTCAAGCGGCTGATGACTGGATTAATCTATTTTCTGGGTTCACACAATCCATGGAGACATGAACCAAGGAAACAGGCTCAGTTTGCCCGTTTGAGAGTAGTCAAGGGGTCGGACTAAAACAAGGAATTTCCAAGTTCATCCAACTCAGCTATGGTCATTGGAAACCTGAGCAGTCCCTCCTCCCTTTTAGCCCTACCTACCTAACAGGGTTATTGTGGAGATAAAACAAAGACAGCCTCCTTGCCTGGAGAAAAAGCAGGATACAAGTCAAACAAAAATCTGGCAGTAATCAAACATCGTATGCTGTTCATATGGAGCTGTTAAATCTTTCACTGTCCTACTTAAACATGTTCTGTACATTACACAGCGGTGTTGTTCACCCTCTACACTAGTAAGTCTTGGGAGTTGGGGAGTATATTATTGCACTAATTTGCAGCCCCAGCTAAATTCACACTGGTGTATAGTTCCCCATTGTCCTTCTGCTGAGAGAAGCCCTGGGTGTGGACCACAGTCATCCGATCCAAGCCATAGTGACCTCAGGAGTGTCATGACACCATTGCCTCCGTGACACCAATTGTATCATTCGCACTGGGACATCAGGAGACAGGCTGGGCCACATTGCAGATGCCCAAAGTCCTGCTCCCACAGGCCTGTTTCCAGCAGCTCTCGCATCCA